GTGGCTCCTAGCACCAAATCCTTTTAAATTCCAGGTCCTTTTAATAAGATGATGCTATACAGCAGTCCCTTCTGCATGAAATAACTACCATCATCACGACTTTGGCTGAGCCTGATTGCTAAACATAGTCACAATTGGGCTTGTTGATGGTTGTGCTCATTCATTAAAGGAGTGCCAAGCAGGGTCACTGGACCCTCACCTGAGTATCCAGCCACTCTTCCCAGCCAACTAGTTCAGCCTTGGAAGACAAAAGAAACATGAGGAAGAACCCAACAGAGGGATGCTTTTGGAAGCCCTTGTCAAGAGACTCCAATGGACTCTCATATGAACATTTGAAAATTGCCCTGTTCTGACTTTTTTCTAGGTCCCTGTCTAGAATTTGCAATGCTAATTACTCTTGCCTTTACTTCTCCTTCACATCTCCTAATCACCAGTCAAGGACTTTCTTTTCCCCCTAAGGTAAGAGTTATGCAATTTGGGAGTCTTTTAGATAGACTCATAGAAGGGGTACTCCAGCTGCCTCACCATGCATCCCTGCCCCATTCAGCATGGAAGAAGCCAGAGCGGTCTTTGTCCCAATTCCCTACCTGCAAGTTGGGTAACCTCTTCAGAAGATGGTGTGATCGATGGTGTGTTAATAGGAGGTAGGAATTAGCTAGGCAGTTAGGGTAAAAAGACCCCAAAGAAAAGTAGCCAGGTTCTTGGCTAAAAGTGAAAATGTCCTTGGGCCTCTTGGCAATATACTCCGTTCCTAAGGTCAAAAGTATTAAAAAAGTATTTGGGAGCTCTTATCTAATCCTTAAAAGATTTTAGGGTTACCTCTTCAGAGGGGGGTATGTTAGAGTAGTAAAAAGCCCCATTAAAAAAAAAAAAAATAGACGACGACAGTGATGGGGAGATGTGGGAGGAGTTAGAGGGAGCGGGCATGGATTTGATCAAAACACCTTATATGCATGTATGAAATTCTCAATAAATTATTTAATTAAAAATAAATAAATAAAATGCAAAAAAATATAGAAACAATTTTTCTGATTAATTCAAAATGTTAAGATAGTACCTGAATAAAATGCAAAGCCTAAGTCGTTATTTCAAAGAAGATAATGGTGTCTGTTGGTGAAGTGGGATCTTTATCTCTACTGGAAAGGGAGGAACATGTTTTATAAAGTCACATCCCACCCATTTGCTTTAAATTACAGCAGATTCAGTCCAGAGTTAGCCTTTTGTCGGAACAATCTTAATTTTTTCTTTTCAAGGCAGTGTACTACCCAGGCTGGTCTCAAACTTTTGATCCTTCTGCCTTAGCCTCCCTCTTGAGTACTGCAAGTATACTTGTTTTTTAAAAATCTCTCAGTCACAGTGAAATCATCAAGCTTTCTTGCTGCTTTGCTCTTTTATAGTGCTAAGACAGAGCCCCTACTCTACAGAGCTGTTTTGTGAGCATTATTATTACCAGAGGGCTTTTCACAAACAGTGTTACTTGATTTTCATTAAGTACTACATGGTTTTTCTTT